AAAGAACATTAAAAATGCAATCCACAACATGCAAAAAAATTGACACAATAATTGATCTCCCACATTCATGTTAAGGGGTGAATATTATTAGCTTTAATAAACAAGCACCCTCTTCAATTTGCTTCCATAGTGATTTCTAAATTAAATTAAACTTCAAACTCAAAATTTCCAATTTTAAATATAGGCTTATCAACTAGTTACCTATTTTTGGGCGTTGTGGGGGTGCTAATCATTCCCCACGCGTAACTGACTCCCGAACCCATTTTCTAGTTTTCGTAGACCTTAAAATTGGTATTTTGTTAAAAATGTTTTATTAAAATTACCCAATTTTTATGGTGTCTCGATCACACCTTAAAATCATTGGTGGTGACTCCCAACATTTCAAAAAAAACCTTTTCAAAGAAAATCCGAAATCGTACAAGTTTTTCCCCACCCAGGCAGAAAATATTGTCGATAGCTTGGTGACTCTTCTGGAGTAATTTTGTTTTCCAAAACAACTTGAGAGTCGAGCCACAAGTTACCCTATATTTAGGATTCTGGAAATTACGAGTTGGGTTTTATTTAATTTATAATTCATTATGTTATTTCAAAAAAACCAAAAATATATTTTCTCTCTGGTTAATACTTACACTTTTGTGAATTTATTTAGGATTGTTGCATGTCATAGCTCTAAACCTGACCTCAATCCAGATTTACCTAAGTATGGAGAAACGCCATCCTTATGGGGAGAATTGGGCTTCCTCGTGTAGGTCTGATAAATTACCTTTGGAAAGCATTCTAAGTTGTCTGTCTGGATATCAGTTCGAGGCACGATTTAGTGGTGTGATCTCCTAAGCTGAATCTGATTCGCAAGTCTGTAATGGGCTAGAATCGGAGTCAACCTAGCAGGCTGTAAAGATAGCTTGGGAACCTTCTTAGAACAAAAACTCATCTAGATAATTTTGTAGCTGGTGAATAATTTGTGATGCCAGAAAAGATTATTATTGATGTCAAGCAAACACATTGGGCAGAATTGTCAAGAATTTGGGCCAGTTAAGGATAAGACTAAGAAAATATTGTTCAGAGAAGTCTATGGAGATGTAGTAGAGTTACTAAAAGTACCAATCGACACAACTGTCATTCAAGCTTTATCTGAGTACTGGAATCTCGTGTATCATTTCTTCACCTTTTGAAAAGTAGGCATGACCTCTACCCTCAAAGAGTATATTACTTTGTTGAACATACCAAACGTCAAAAGTCATTCACTTTACCCAAAGGAAATCTGACCTAAAGGATTAGTAATCAAGATGGTCACTTTAACTGAGAAGTCATTCACTATAGAGTGCATCGATGCATAGGGCCAGAATTGTTAAGTTGGGACGAAAATTGTAGAAAGATTAATAATAAATATTTTGATTAATGTTTAAATTATAATGGTTAGTAAATACACTAACAGTTGGTAATATACATGTACTCAATGAATGGGAGATAGATCGAAATAAAGCTTTCGAGTCGAGTAAGGCGAAAGGTAAGGGCCAAGTCTCAGAGTAATTATCTTGCTAATAAGGATTTATAAGCAAGGCAAACCAGGTGAGTGCATCTAATTATTCACGTACATTTGGTAATAGTTAAAATAGCATGATTTATTAATGTATGTATAGTGATTACCAAATGGCACTATATGTGCTAAAATGGTAAGGGAATCATACTGAGTGTATGAATTTCCATATGGAGCATGTAGTGTGCTAAAATGATAAGGAAATCATATTGAATATATGGATTTCCAGATAGGGCATTATATGTGCTAAAATGGTAAGGGAATCATACTGAGTGTATGGATTTCCAGAAAAAGCACTAAGGGTGCTACAAGGATAAGGAAATCATACTAATAGTATGGATTTTCATACTGAGTGTATAAATTTCCATATGGAGCATTGAGTGTGCTAAAATGATAAGGAAATCATATTGAATATATGGATTTCCAGATAGGGCATTATATGTGCTAAAATGGTAAGGGAATCATACTGAGTGTATGGATTTCCAGAAAAAGCACTAAGGGTGCTACAAGGATAAGGAAATCATACTAATAGTATAGATTTTCATATAGGGCACTTCATGTGCTAAAAATGGTAAACGAATCATACTAATGGTATGGATTCTCGTATAGGGCACTTCGTGTGCTAAAATGAGGAGGAAATCATATTAAGTATATGATATTCCAGATAGAGCACTGAGAGTGCTAATATTATAAGAAAATTATACGAATATACAAATTTCTTATGAAATTATAGTAAGTAGATCGATAAAATAAGCTTACGAGCTTATGGAATAAAGGTAAGTATATTGGTAAAATAAGCTTACGAACTTATGGAATAATGGTAAGTATATTGGTAAAATAAGCTTACGAGCTTATGGAATAATGGTAAGTATATTGGTAAAATAAGCTTACGAGCTTATGGATTAAATGGTATGTATATTGATAAGAAATCTTATAGCATTTTGATCATGGTAAAAATTGGATATATTGATAACATGATTTTATGGCATTTTGATTTTAACATTGAAAAGCATGATTTGTATTGCATTGTTTATTGTTTTAATTGCCTCACTAAGTATATACTTAGCGTGTGATGATTTTCACGCGTAGGTAAAAAGTCAGTAATGGAATAAAGAGTTTAAAGCGTCATCAAAGATTGAGAAGTATATTTCAATATCAGTAAGAGATCCTAAGTTTTAATGTTAGTTTTATTAGTGGCATGTAATTATAAATGTTTTAATTTATTTTGTTGAACAAATTTGGAAACATAATGGTAATTTTATGAGTTTTGTATAATGCTGAAATTACTGTAGCAGTTACTGTAGCGTATCGATGCATAATATTAATTCAATGTTTTGATGCATCGATGCACTGTTCACGTTACTGTAGCGCATCGATACACTGTTCACTGTTCACGGGTATTGTTCATAACTGTTCACGGGTATTGTTCATTAAAAAATCTTTTGAATTAAATTTGCTATAACAAAATATAAATTACATGATATGATATTATTATAATATCAATTACCATTTTAAGAAAATAAATTTTAAATCGCTGTTATTAATTGGATAATGGTTTTTGAAATACGGTTGACATCCGTAATCTGTATAGGTATAAATATACGGATTTAGAGTGTTACATTTATTGGTATCAGAGCTACGGTTTAGCCGATTCTAGGTCTAAACCGAGTTTGTTTTGAGTTAAAAAGTGTATACATGCCACTAGGATGTCGAAAGTTATTGATAGTTGTATATATATACTATGATGATGCTTTTTGAGAGTAAATTTGCTCTTTAATAATGTATGAGGATTCTGACTATGTTCAGATGTTGGAAATTAAAGACAAAAGTAAGAAATTTGAAAATGTTAAAAAGAAGGTCGAGATTGAAATCGACCCAAAAGGGACGCGATATGAATTATGTAAAACACCTCAGAAGGGTGGAAGTTGTAAGGGATTTTCATCCATTATGTGGAAGAAATGCCCTAGCTTTTAATGAAGTTTCTGAATGGAAAGAATCGATTAAAAAGTTTGAACGACTTACAGGAAAAGTTGAATTGGATGAGGATCCAGAGGAGAATGTTGAATCTAGTGATGATTCTGAGGTTTCTCCAGGTAAGCTTAAATAAGTGAGAAATATTTAAGCTAATAATTAAATTGTTTAAAGCATTTTGATTTGAGTAAGAGGAAATAAATAAGCGGTAATAAGTTGTCCGCTAAAAGTTTACAGAAAGTTGAGTTATTAGTGAATCAAATGATTATGAGTTGGATTGATAATAAATATCAAGTCCATAAAAATTGGATAGAGTTACCTTGTGAAGGTAAATATGAGAAAATGGATTGTCTAACCATTTCATGCTGAAATGAAAAAAGTGTTTAGATTAAGATGGATTCTCAAGAACTTGAAAAGTGTCAAGTCCGTGATGATAAGAAGAAAAAAGAGTAAATTTGTTTACTAGTGTTATTCTAGCATTTACTGTTATGAAGTTATTGCTACAAATTTATCAAGTTTTCTTATTGAATGGTGTGAACATTGAGACTTTCATTTGTGATTGAAAATATTTCAACTGTTCGAAAATATTATTTTTGGATTTAGAAAAAAAATTATATAGATTTCCTTAGATGAAATAAGGAATTCTAAAGTAGAGATATTCAATTCAATTTGATAAAAAGTATTATTATGGGAAGACCCATAGGTCACAGTCATGATACAAGTGTTAATTAGATAAATAGTAAATGTCCGATAAACATTCATGAGCTTATGGTAATGGCGAATCTTATGGGATCATCATTAATGAGTTTTAGATCATTTTGATCATGAGTTGGTTGTTTCTGCATTAAGGTTGGGTTATTAGTCGCGAGAAGCGATTAATTTAGAAAAATGCAGAGAAAAAAAATTTAGTGATTGATAAAAAAGCAAAATCATCACTAACGTGATATCAACAATGGTTGCGATTAAGAAGATGTAAAAAGGATGCATAGCTTTTGTAGCTAAAGTGATAGATACTTAAGTATCTGAAGTAAGATCATATGATATTTCCATAACTTGGAAATTTCCATATGTCTTTCTAGATTTATTATGTGGGTTACCTCCAGATTTAGAGGTGGAAATTCAATATTAATGGTTATCAAGGCATTAATCATGTATATATGTGTTTATATCGAATAATTGCGATTGAGTTAAGAGAATAATGAACCAATTGCAAGAATTGCTAGATTGAGGATGCATTAGACCGAGTATTTTACCTTGGGGTGAATCAGTGTTGTTTATGAAAAAATGATATACGCAATTATGCATAGATATTATTATAATACCAATTACCATTTTAAGAAAATATATTTTAAATCATTGTTATTAATTGGATAATGGTTTTACGGTTGACATCCGTAATCTGTATAGGTATAAATATACAGATTTTAGGTGTTACACTTATAGTATATAGTTTAGTAGTTTTACCGAGAAAGGAATATCATTTCGATATTTCCATAATATATTTTCTCAAAATCATTGATAGGTAAACAAATCCCGAACAAGTCATCCTAGAAGAAACATTCATGTCTTTAAACAAGTGTAGGCAATCAGGTGGTGACCAATTTAAAGGTTGTGTATCTCTCTTGATAGTATGGTGGTAGAGCCATTTCTAGATAGTCTAAAAGTGTTGGTATTGATCCCCCTTAGCAGATTTCCTTGACAAGTACAAGATTCCAGAACCTCGCAGAAGAAAAGACTGGATTGAGGCTCTAAGAAATATGAAAGATACCGAAGTAGTCTGGAAAGTGTATTGGTTGTCCAAGGAATACATATTGTACATATGTGGAAATGATAACTTTGTTATGTTACATGGACTATAGGGAGCAATTGGCTACACTCTTTTGATGGAACTTCGACAGTTTAGTGCCCGATATTTCATACTAACTACTCGTGGGCTGAAAGAGTTTTCATTTTCTACCCTGAATTTTAGAGACCAAATCTCGATGATATACAATGCTTGGAAAAATCCCAATTTCCTGAATTTCAAGATGATAGAATCAGCGTTCACGTTGGCCTATGAGGCTTGTAGGACGGGAAGAATCAATGATAATACCCTGAAACCAAATTTAAAAGATGGGTTGACCATGGAGGAACGATTAAGAAGGCTCTCAGCTGAAGCTGAGCTATTGAGAGAAGAAATCAGGCTGATGAATATGGATAGTGAAAAAGAGAAAATAAGTTTCTCAGATGAGAAAACGATGTGGAAACTGAGCTAGTAAAGCGAGATGGGGTGGTAAAACAATTAACCAAAGAAAATGAAAGAATCCGAGAGACTTTCGATGCCCTGGATCAAGATTTTAGAGACTTGGAAAAGAATATGAAGGCTAAGGGCCTACATCATACAATTAATGCTTTGAAAGTGAAGTTAGATGGAGTAGAAAGAAGTGTAAGAAGAAGAAATGAAGGAAAGAAGAGAGCTATACAACATGCCCAGAGATTAAGAGAACAAAGAGATGGGCCAATCAAGAGTTAGAAAAAAGGCGAGCCAAATTGAGCAACTCGAACCATAACTTATTAGTTCAGAGAAGGCTTTTCAAAATCCCTACAATAGTAATGGCATTTCTTCTAAGAGAGAATGAGGCCTTGAAGAAAAGAATAGCTAATTTGGAATGAATTGAACTGATTTACTCATAAGCCCATGAAATGACTTGGCAAGAAAATTAATCTTCGAAGAATAAGATTGATGAGTTGGAGGCTGCAATGCAAAGATGCAATGGACGAATCCAACAACTCAAAAGAAATAAACCTTTATCTAATTAATAGCTTTTGATTGCACTGTGCCAAGCTAATGACACCATTTAGATGTAGCATGAAGCGATGGAGAAAGTAATGGAGCAAGCTAGAAAGGTTGCTCAACAAGTCTTTGAGTTGTCTGAAAGAGAGCTGCCTTGAAAGTCTTTGTGGTACCAAAATCTAAAGAAGGGCGATGCATTATTAAGATGATGGTGGATCTAGAGAAGTTAGGAGATATGGCTAGATATTATATATAGTTCTCTGTTGGCGTCTTTATTTTCCCTAAGTGCTTAGGCATTAAGTGTTATTGAGAACTTTTGAATGAAATGGTTATTCTGAAATTCATTCTGAAATCAATATCTTTTGCACTAGCATTTTCATGTTTTTCCAATCTTTATGTCTTAATGCATTGTATTCTAACATTCATTCATCCATTCAATAAAACACCAAAGTAACTCGGTAAGATTTCTAATTGCAGTTACCCTAGCCCTCAATAGTGGTAAAGACACCACACACCCCTACTGTACTCATAAGTCGACCAAGAAAATAGAAGGGAGACTAGCCTGAATCGACCAAGATCAATGAGACACGCAATAAGAAATGAGAGAGAGGCTGAGTAAACTTGAAATATATATGGAAAGTTCATAGCTCAATTTACTGAAAAAGATAAATGACATATTTGAGAAGAACTCGACCGCTTGTATAGCTCCTGCTAATCAACTTTTGTCGTCCACCCAAGACTCCTTACACCCTCCAGGGTTCGGTCAAGAGCCATCTCATCCCCCAGGATTCACGCCAGACCCTCAACACCCTCCAGGCTTTACACCCATTTATATCACTGCTCGCTCATCGGCTCCATAAGAGGCTCGACAATGAGTTTACTTTTCCAACCCATAACCTCATGAAGAACCCTCAAATTACCAACTTATATAAAGAGAAAGACCAAATGAGTTCAGCATGGAGGATTTAACACCATATTTGAATAAAACGGCTAAGAGGGAGAAAACAAACACTAAAATCGTTTAACAATTCAGGAACTTGAAAGAGATAATAAAATATATTGAACTTATAGAACCAATTTATGGGATAGACGTCAGGGAACTAAGTCTAGTCCCTGATCTTCCTCTGCCCCCAAAATTTGAAATTTCAGATTTCGAGAAATATGATGGAACCACGTGCCCCTCATAACACCTTACAATGTTCTGTCGAATGATGTATGGTTATTTAGAAAATAAGAAGTTGTTAATCTTTTGCTTTCAGGATAGTTTAACTAGGTCTGTAGTAAAATGGTATAATCAGCTGACCAGATTTCATATCAAGTCATGGAAAGATCTAGCAAAGGCTTTTACGAAACAATATCACCATGTGATCGACCTGGTGCCGGATAGTTGGACTCTCCAAAATATGGAGAAGAAATATAACGAGACCTTTAGGCAGTACACCCAAAGATGGTGAGATGTAGCAACATAAGTCCAACCACCACTGCTAGAAAAGAAAGCCACTGTCATTTTTGTGAACACACCTAAGGCCCGTACCTCGAGCATTTATTGGGTATTCAAACAATTATGTTAGGCCGACATGATCAAAGGTAGCATGGAACCAAAGCTAGATGATTATGAGTTATACTATGGTTATCACTAAGAGAAAAGGTATGAGATCCAACACTGTCTCAAATTTAAAGGGTTGCTCCAGAGGATGATGGACAATCGAGAAATAGAACTCTTTGACTAATCTGATGAAAATAAAGAAATTGATGTGTGTACGTCTGAATAATTATAAATGACATATGATGCAAGAAAACCCGTAATCATCACAGTTCGACCCCGAGCTGATAGTTCGTCAATGACAAATCCAAGGGTTGTGATAATCGCTCCAACACCGTTTTCGTTCAAAGACACCCATTGAGTACCATTGAACTATGCCGCTCAGGTATCAATTCTTAAAGAATCAAGGTCCATAGAAAAGATTCAAGCATTTGAGAAGGTAGAAAAAGTAAAACAATAGAAACACATCATAGAGGAAGTGGGTGAAGTAGGTCACTTCAACAGAAGTAGGAGATGCTACTCTCCCAAAGCATCAAAGGAAGCTGAAAAAGCAAAATGAAAGCTAAAACACTTGAGGTACCTAGTATATTCAAAGAAGAACCTCTGTTGCTGATTAACAAGCCGGTGACTGAAGCTCAAGTCTAGGAATTCTTGATATTCCTAAAGGATAGTGAATCTAGTATAGTGGAGCAGTACATAAGCAGCAAGTAAACATCTTGATACTAGATCTATTGATAAGTTTAGAAATACACCGTAATGCCTTGTTGAATGTATAAACCATATTTTCATCCAGAAAATATATCTCTGAACAATCTTGATCACATCATGGGACATATAGCTGTCGAAAACTACATAATATTCACTAACGATGAGATCCCAGGGGGAGTAATGGGATTTATCAAGGCCTTGAACATCACCACTCATTGTCATGGTCATGTTTTGTCAGGATTCCTGATTGATAACGAGTATGCACTAAACGTGATGTCATTAGCTACCCTACAAAGGAAACCCATCGATATCTCTCATATGAAAGACTACCAGCATGTCGTCAAGCATTCGATGGAACAAGAAAAAATATAATGGATAAAAAAGAGATACCCCTTCTAATCGAACCCGTATAGTACAATGTTGATTTTGTGGTGATGAACATACATTCTACCTACAATTGCCTGCTCGGAAGGTTATGGATCTATTCTGCTAGGGCAGTCTCTTCTTCTCTACATCAGAAAGTAAAGTTTGTCATCAATGAATAACTGGTCAGCCTCGAAACCGAAGAATAAATTATTCCTTTTGTAGCAACCAATGCCCATAGATAGATATTAATGTGGAAGCTTTGAAGTGCTCTTTTAGGACTCTAGAATTTTCAATACAAGCTATGTTGCCAAGGGGAGTGGGATGTCACAACCCAAATTATCTAACTGCACCCAAATTATCCCAATGCCCATAGGGATCTATTATGCTAGGGCGGTCTCTTCTTCTCTACATCAGAAAGTAAAGTTTGTCATCAATGAATAACTGGTCAGCCTCGGAACCGAAGAACAAATTATTCCTTTTGTAACAACCAATGCCCATAGATAGATATTAATGTGGAAGCGTTGAAGTGCTCTTTTAGGGCTCTAAAATTTGTCAATACAAGCTATGTTGCCAAGGGGAGTGGGATGTCATAACCCAAATTATCTAACTGCACCAAAAGTCTATTAGACAAACTCTAGGAAGAGAAGCTGAGGTTGAAAAGGGTTTGGGAAGGAACTTGTAGGGAATAGTACTTATCATAATCATTAAAATAAAGAATGATCACTTTGGGCTCGGATATAAACCCACGTATCAACAACAAGGAAAATACATAAGAAAGAAGACCGAGGCAAGAAAGGCCAAACTCATAGGGAAGGATGCCCCTTGGGAACGTATGTCATTCCCTCCTTGAAATCACTTTTTAGGTTCGGAGGGGTGTATGACTTGAAGCAGCAGGAGACCAAAACCCTCAAAGAGGAGGTGAAGATAAGAGAGACAAAAATGTTTATTGAGGCCGTGAAGGGTTTATCCATTAACATGATCTCTGAAGATGAACCTGAAAAATATCTGGATGGAATTCACCCTTGCTTCCCGGGTGAAAAGTTGAGCAACTGGACTTCAGAGGATCTCTCTATGGTCTTTAAGATTGATTCAAAGTAATAATTGAAACCACCGCTAAGCTTACGCCCGAGAGTAGAGGGGATCTTTTGTAAGGGCATGATATGTCAAAACTACTTTTATATTAAAGAATATGCTTTTTGTTTCCAAAATGGCAATCACTTTTATATTTTGTACATTTTACATCATTCCTTCATTCATTAGTCCTTACATTTATACCCATCGATCGTTATCCAAATGTGTATCAAATTTTCCTTTGTAGATGGCACGCAATGTCAATAACATGAATGTTTTTTAGTCCAATCATGAGATGAATTTAGAGCGGCCCATATGTTTGGAGATAAGGCATATTGTAATGTTCCTAACGAGCTGCTAAGACTAGTATAAAAAGAAGATAAACAAATAGTACCTGATAAATAAGAAATCGAGATTGTGTATTTGGGGACAGAATAGGAAAATAGAGAAGTAAAGATTGACACTACTCTATCTGCAGAAATCAGACAAAACTAGTAAACTTTCTCTAAGAATTCAGAGACATCTTCGCATGGTCATATTAGGATATGTCGGGATTAAGTATAGACATAGTGGTGCATAAACTTCTAATAAAACCAAAATGCAAGTCCATTAAACAAAAACTCAGATGGATGAGGCCATAGATGCTTCTAAAAATTAAAGAGGAAGTAACAAAACAGATTGACATGGGTTTCCTCCAAGTAGCCAAATACCCAGAATGAGTGGTCAACTTAGTACTGATACCAATGAAAGATGGGAAATTTCATATGTGCGTGGATTATCGAGATCTCAACAAGGCTAGCCCTAAAGATAATTTTTCATTACCTCATATAAACACCCAGGTGGATAACACAGTATGTCATGCATGGTTCTCCTTTATGGATGGTTTCTCTGGCTACAATCAGATCAAGATGAGTATCGAGGACATAGAGAAGACTACATTCGTGACTATGTAAGAAACCTTCTGCTATAAGGTAATGACATTCGTATTGAAAAATATTGGGGCAACTTATCAAAGAACAATTATGACCCTCTTCCATGACATGATGCACAAAGAAATTGAAATTTATGTGGACGACATGATTTCCAAATCCAGAACAGAAGAGGAGGACATTCAGAATTTAAAGAAACTATTTAAGAGATTAAGAAAGTATCAGCTAAAGCTCACCCAGTTAAGTGCACCTTTGGAGAAACATTAGGGAAGCTCTTGGGATTCGTAGTGAGTCAAAGAGGAATTAAAATTGACCCAAATAAAGTGAAATCAATTCAAGATCTTCCTCCACCTATGAATTAGAAATAAGTTCGAGGTTTTCTTAGGAGGCTAAACTACATATCTCAGTTCATTTCCCAATTAACTGACAAATGTGATCTGGTATTCAAGTTACTCAGGAATAATAACCCTAAATTCTAGATAAAGAGTGCCAAGATATTTTGGAAGTTGTCAAGAAATATCTATCCAATGTTCCTATCCTGGTAGCATATATTCCTGGGAGATGTGTGACTACTAATGAAGCAAGAAACATCATGGGAGAGATGCATGGAGGAATGTGTGGGACCCACACAAACGGATGAGATATAGGTACTATTGGGCAACGAAGCACATTGATTATGCGAGAAGGTGCTAAAAGTGTCAAATATATGCATATAAGATTCGTGCACCGCCATCACCCCTATACGTAATGACTGCATCATGGCCTTTTTCTATATGGTGTATGGACGTTATTGGAGCAATCACGCCAAAAGCATCAAATGGTCACCGTTTTGTTCTAGTAGCAATTGATTACTTTATTAAATGGGTAGAGGTTGCTTCCTAATCTAGTATCACAAGAGCTACGGCCTGTAGATTTATAAAGAGAGAGATAATTTGTATACATGGATTACCAAAAATGATCATCACTGATAATGCAACTAATCTGAACAACAAGATGATAAACGAGCTATGTACGTGGTTCAAGATAAAGCATGCCAACTCTACAACTTATCACCCAAAAATGAACATGGCAGTAGAATCTGCAAACAAAATCCCCAAGAAAATCATTACCAAGATCATGAAGACTTATAGAGAATGGCATGAGAAGTTGTCATTTGCCTTATACGCTTACCGAACAACAATACAGACATCGATAGGGGCAACCCTTTTCTCTTTGGTATATGGAACAGAGATAATCGTGCCTATTGAGGTTGAAATTCTATCATTGAGGGTCTTGAGAGAGGTTAAACTAGATGAAGTAGAGTGGGTCTAAGCTCGGTTTGATCAACTGAACCTCATTGAAGAAAAGAGATTGAAAGTTATCTACCATGGGCAGATGTACCAGAAGCGAATAATGTAAACATGACAAAAGGGTTCACCCAAGAGAATTTTGAGAGGGTGATCTAGTGCTTAAAAGTATATTTCCCATTCACAAAGATTTTCGTGGGAAATAGATACCTAATTGGGATTAGCCATACGTTGTCAAAAAGGCCTTCTCCGGAGGAGCGTAGATTTTGAATGAAATGGATGGAGAAGTATTGAAAAACCCGATAAATTCAGATTATGTCCAGAAATATTATTCTTGATAAAAAAGGGTTCAAGGCGTAAGCCCGCAAAAGTGTCTTGAAACCAAATGAAGGATTTAAGTTGAAAACTTGAAATGATGGCTCAAGTGCATTAACGTTAGACATCCGATAATTAAACCCTCTCATAAGTCTAATATCTCGGAAGAAGCTTGACATCTGCAGACTTCTTCACAACGTTGAAATCCTTCAGAAAAAAGCTCACCTCAGTG